ATTATGTTGTCTAGGTTGGTCTTGAACTTCTGGGCCCAAGCAATTCATGTACCTCGGCATCCTAAAGTGCTGGGATTATGGGCGTGAACCACCATGCCTTGACAGGGCTCAATTTCCACCCCCAGGCTATATACACTTGTGTATTCTGTGGACCCTACTGCTCTAGGGTCAGAGAAAAACATTAGCAGTGTTTTTTGCTCCATGTAATTAGAATATTTGTGCCTGTTGGTTAAGAAAATATATAGTAGAGGAGGAATAACTGGTCTGTTTAGGGCCAAGTAAGATGAAGTTGCCCAGTTCAATAGCTGAGAGCGAGGTGGAAGTGAGATTTTGATCTTAGGTAAAAGTGCATATAAAAGAAAAAGATAGTTAATATTATTGCTTTGTGACCCTCATTAGTTGAAATTAATATTTCTTTTTTTTTTTTTTTTTGAGACAGAGTCTCTCTCTGTCACCCAGGCTGGGGTGCAATGGCACGCTCTCAACTCACCACAACCTCCACCTTATGGGTTCAAGAAATTCTCATGCCTCAGCCTCCCGAGTAGCTAGGATTACAGGTGTGTGCCACCACACCCAGGTAATTTTTGTTTTTTTAAGTAGAGACAGGGTTTCACCATGTTGGTCAGGCTGGTCTCGAACCCCTGACCTCGTGATCCACCCGCCTCAGCCTCCCAAAGTGCTGGGATTACAGGCCTGAGACACCGCACCCAGCTTGAAATTAATATTTCTGCAGCACATAGAACTTTCTATGAAATCTATCCTATTGAAGCCTTTACCACTTCTACTCTGGGTACTAGTTATTGATGGTCATGCTTCATCTTGTCTGCTAGATGGTAGGGACCTTCAGTGCAGAATCTGTGTCTGATGAACCTTTTGTCACTCAAAGCATTTGAAAAGAGCTTCACGCACAGTAAGAACTCAGTTTACATTTGGTGTATAAATGACACAAACCATGCAGGCAGTCTTTCTAGGTCAGAATGTGAAGACTCAAACTTTGGGTTTTTCTTTGCGTTAATGTTGAGGTTATAGAGTTGAGAACACAGTGTTGAGTCTTAGAAGTTGAATAGCTAGTATCTGAGTCGTTATTTAGAATGACTATTAATTATTCATGCCTATTATGTGCTAGGAACTTTACAGCAGTTACCTTTTCTTATTGCATTAATACTGCAAGGTAGCAATCATTACCTGCATTTTACAGATGAAGAAACAGGAGATTAAGCAATTTTTCCAAAGTGATAAAATGAGTAAAGGGCAGAGGCAAAGGAGCTGAAGTCAAACTCAGGGCTCATGGTCCATTATTATTAGACCCCAGCACCCCCCTGCTGATCACACCAGGAGCCATAAAACTTTCCTGTTAAATCTAGTCTGCAAGAAGAGCTCTCCAGGCCTATAGGTCCAGAAAAGGTCATTGGTAAGAAAAAAAATACCAGGCTAACTTGATTATAACTGTGGGCTTTGGGTAAATTACTAAGCTCCTATAGTATTTATTTCCTCCTCTGCAAATAATGCTACTATGTAAATAACAATACTTCTTTCACATCCATTCAGTGTCTTTTTATACAGGGTTGAGATGAGATGTTTGAAAATCTCCTAGAACTGTGCTTGCCACATGATAGGCACCTAAGAAATGTCATTCAAACCTACATTTCTGCAGAAGTAAAATGGAATTGATGGCACCACAATAATAATGAGGAGAAAGTTTCTTTCCATGAGGCTTTTGGAGCATGTACTTGTCTGCTCCTACTCTTCTGTCCTGACTGCAGGCAAATGTTATTTCATCATTGTATTCATTTACTGATGCAGATGTCTGCCCATTGAGAGGATCCTCTTGAAAAGGACTCACATGGATTGTGAGTTCTAGGCCAACTCTTCCACACTGTTCGGACTTATTTCCATCTGTAAGGCAGTCCACAGACCCATGCATTAGAAAACAGTGCTTTTTAGAAAAGATCACCGTAGCTACCCTCACTCTACTATTACCATTACTATACTGAAAGTAGCTAACGTTTATCAGACACTTACAATGAATTGATCATTGTTTCAAGTCCTTTATGCTTTATTAAATCATCATAACAAACCTATGGGGTATGTACTATTCTTCTCATTATCATTTTAAAAATAAGGAACCTGAAGCCTACATCTTTTGCACATTCTCCCAGAAAAGCTGCTCCATAAAATGAATATGAGAATCTGCAGTCCACAGGCCTGTGGCCAGATCAGAAGAGATTCATGCACTTTACCTTCGTCATTAACTAATACCCCAGGGGACAGAAGTGTGAGCACTCAGATAAATATGGTTCAGTGAATGTCATTTAATTACCATAACGGTTAAAATAATGAATGGAACACAGTGAGTCTCAATATCAATTTAAAAAAGTAAAAATAAGATCCCATAATTTTTTTTTCAAATTTGAAAATTTAAATAATTTTATTCAGTGATGGAACTACTGCTATGAAATAAGCATCCACATATTCTGCCAGAAGAAATAAAAATTTGTGTATTTGTAGAGGCAAAAATGTATCAAGGGCTTTTTAAATTTTCAGATTTTGCTACAGAAATCTCCCATCTTGGAATGTATCTAAAGCAAATAAGCTGTGCCAATATTTATATTTAAGGATCACACCACAATATATTTAGTAATAGCACAAACATGTAGCTACCAAGAACACCAGGTATAAGAGTATCTGGCTCAAATCCCAACTCTACAGTCACTAGCTCTTTGACCTTGCAAAAACTTACCTCCCTGAGCTTTAGTTTTGGCCTTAGTAAAATAAAACTTCATGTAAAGCATGCCACAGTGTCTGACCCACAATATGTACCAGATAAAATAGAAAATCGCTGTTTTATTTTCTTCTCTGTTCCTACCATTATTACTTACCAACCTAAATGTACAACAATGTGGAATGGTTACATTGTAGATGAGTATCTGTTTGGTGGAATTATGTTCTTGAAGACTAATGTTGTAAACATAATAACTATCAATTAAGTGACGAATGTACACTATTAAATTATAGGAATAATTTCAAAATTTAGTATAGAGTGCATAGAAATACATGTATGTGTAACTACTTGTAGAAAGAAAAAAAGAAAAACATCAAAATAATACCAAATCACTTATAACCCCAAGAACTATTTAGTATTGACAAGTGACTCTATATATTTATTTTCCAAGTTTCCTCCAGTGTATATGTGTTACTTTTATAATCAGAAATAATAAACATTAACAAAATATGATTTTAAAGCAGTTTTTATGACAGATTAACTTACCTACAGACAGACAGACACACACACACACACAAACACACACACCATGATGGGAATTATTTTGAAAGTTGCCACCACAGATGTCTGTGGGTTTTTGACTGCTTGTACCTATTTTTATTTCCTGAGAGCAGTCTCAGTTGCATTTAGGAAAGTATTGTCCTCATTAAACATAGACCTGCAGGGCTCTGTTCCAATCCCTCCTCTCTTAGTTAAGGAAGAGTTCTTGTTACCCAGGCCAGGCTAATTGGATTCTCCTTTTATAGAGTTTAAGTCTTGAAAGGAGCAGCATATAGACTGAAAATATTTGGAATTCATTTATCCTAGTATGGCTCACTTAGTCACTCTGTATCTGATATAAATCATACCTATAGTTATTTTTCCCCTTCCACCACGATGGCTTGGATCCTGTTAGCTTTTAAGTTTGGTTCTGTATACTTCCTGTAATTCTGTGGCTTTCCACTACTGTTCCAAAACATATATACATATATATATATATATATACATATTTGCTTAAAGCAGTCAGAGTTGTCTTCTGTTGCTCATTAGAAGACAACGTATATGCTACATTGTTGAAATTTAACCTTGTCTTCTTAAATCCTATGTTCTATTTGTTAAAAATTAGTATATAAAACTTTCTCACCCTCTGTGGGCATGGGCCACCCATCTTCAGCAAAGATGGTGGCTAAAGGGTAGAGATCTTTTTGCCATTCATGCATCATCCCCAGTAAAAGGAGATGCACCAAATGACTTTGTTATACATTGACAACATTAAATATTTATGAAAAGCACAGACTCTGGAGCTTGAGCATCTGAGGTTAAGCCCTGCCTCTACCCTGCAAGCAGAAAGGACTTGGGAATGTTACTATTGGGGATAATAAAGGTTCTTACTCATACAGTTGATGTCGAGATGAATAAAGTCAATATATGTAAAGCACTTTGGATGCAATCTGGCATTTGCAAAGTTCCACTTGTGAGCTACTTTTTTCTACACATTGTAGATCATGACAGCATTGATTGTTGGCAATTATTTAAAATTTTACTGATTCATTTCTCAAATAGTTAAGTGCCATGTGAGTACTTGTTTTAGAAAATAAATCTAGAAATATTTCTTGGTAATTTTTAAAAGATCTAAGATCACTGAAAATCCTACAGAAATGAGGTTAATTCTGTAAGAATGCACCAAAATTCCAGTGAGATAACTTTTTGTCTATGACAGTTAAGATCATTAGACATGGCAGATGGTTATAAAAATTTTCTAAACATATTCTCAGATTAAGTGATGGCATTACATGCAGAGTATATACAAGACGAATAAAACTCAAAATGAGAACTTTTGAAAATAAATTTTAACTTCAGTTTGTGAATGAATATAATAGAAAATCTGAGTGAGTATAATTTTGCATGACTATTGGGAGAGCCTGGAAAGTTTGATCTTCAGATTATTAATGCAGCCAAAAAAAAAAAAAAAGAGAGAGAGAGAATATTTGATGCACAGAATTATCCTTCTTAAGTGAATGTACTAAACTAATAAAAACATTTCCAAAAATCAAAGTTTAAAGTGTGTCAGATCTGCCTTCTAAAATATTGTCTATCTGAGGCTATAGGCTTACCTAAGATTCAATCTATAGGCTTAAATCCGTTCTCTTCCTGGTTGATCCTCATCAACCTTGGCATAGCATTAAGGAGCCCAGGGACTCCCAGTGACTGATGTCTAAGAGTTATGTTTACTCTCCAGGTGAGGTATTTGGTGAGACTGGAATGAGACCACACCCTATCCATGTGAATAGCTGGCCAATCTGTGTGAGTAAATTTCTGTCCTGACCTCTGATTATACTTAATTTTCCCTGAAAAAGGCAATTTTTTTTCCAAACTTCAGCATGCTTCACTAATGGCTTCCAAAAGTTGAATCATGTTTCCTGTGCCCCCTGTTCTTTAGCGGCATCTCTTCCAACCTAAGTAAAACATGTAGATCGAGATGATATCGCAAGTCAGGCAAGGGGCATTGCTTGTGCGCAGACACTTCAGCTGCATTGGCTGTCATGGATTATGGATTTGGCCCTTAGAGAGATTTCTCTAATCCCTCACTAAGTCCAAGTCCAAATTCAGAGTGGATTTGGCTTGAGAAGCAATCTCATAGACCAATTAGCTTCCTAATATCTACAGTTTGTTTTTCTGGTGTATTAGTCTGTTTTTTTTTCAGATTATTTCTTTGAGTGTAGTATAATGAACTTTCCATTATTCATATGTCTACTTACTGGACTTTTTAAACATAAGTTTTACTGATATGATGGTAATTGATGTTAAGAGTAATACCTTTGAAATATCATCAAACATATTTTTAAATATTCAATTTTCTTAAAAAGAGATCTTAAGTTTGCTCATATATTCTATTTTGAATGTAACTTTTCAAAAATTATTGTATATGATGGAAAGGGAACTAGTTTAAAAGTCAAACTTCTGTGTTTGGGTCTAGCTGTGACTGTGAATAAAAAACATGATCTTGAGTCGGTCATTGGAACTTTCTGGGCCTCATTTCTTTTATTTTTTTTTTTAGTGAACAGTTGTATTTTCTTTATCCCAACATTCCTCATGGGTCTAAAAGATAATGTTACATCTATAACTATCTATGTCTACACACACTCACACACATGCACACACACACGTATTTACTTTTTAACATATCCTCATTTTTTGCTGACTTTTTTTCAGATAACTGTACTTATCAAAACAATACTTTCTCTACAAATAGCCTGATAACTTTTGTACATCTGGGTTTGCATAACTTAGACTATAATCTAAATATCTTGATTTAGTTAGAAGTGTATATACGTAGATTATGTCATAAAAGAATGATGGAAATTGTGGTCTTTTGGTATTTTGGAAAATATGTGGGAAGTAAATATTACCTTGCAGTAAAATATACACCAGTTTGTATAGTAGTGAAATGACAGAAGTAGAGAAGGATTGTCATCTAGTGAATGAAAACACCATTTAGCAATGGTGTGATATGGTGGTCCCTTGGTAAATGCAGATGAAGTAAAACGATAAAATTTTTTCTAAGCTCTGCAGTGACTATTGGCTTTTAAATTAATTTTTAAAAATAAAATTTATAAGCAAATATAAAATGCTAAGATAATGTCAGAGAAGAATTTGTAGTGCAAATATTCTAAACCAAGCCTTAAACATATAATCTTATACAAGATAGCACAGTGATGCTTCTTTTAGGAATGAGATGTGGATACTATTTTTAGTTTTCTCTTTATAGAGTAATTATTTATTCAGCTTTCCCATGTGGATATCTACACTATTTGCCATGGTAGGATGAAGTAATCTTAGTAATAGCTTATTTCTCACGTAATAGCAATTCCTCCATCTTTCATGAAAACATCAGGAGCCACAGGACTGAGATCAATGGAATTGTAAGAAGATTTTGGATTTGTGTGTGTGTCCTCTGAAAAAAACTGTTTCCTTTGTTTATGCTACTGCTTAAAAACTCACAGTTCATAATTACTTTTTTGGTTTAAGGGAATTCATTTCTTGTTTGGATTCAAATACTCCCAGAAAAAAGTGCCATCATCACACCAATAATCCCTTTCCCAACTTTGGCAGGAGGGTTTTCAGTGAAAAGCTTTTGAGGTACAGAATATATGGAAAAGGTACTCTTGGAAAGTTGAAGGGCAGAGAGGTCAGAGAGAGACAGCGGGATTTGGAAACAATCACAAGGCAGAATTATCCTGCTCAACAGTAAAGCAATGACGAATTGTTGGACGAAGCTGTAGCAAACTTCTTAAAAATATCATATGCCATTTTATTTTGTTCCTTTGTACCAAGTGTTATATGTCATTTTATATATGTTCATACATGGCCCTACAGATACAAAGAGAAAAATAAAATCATACAAAATTTTTAGTAGTTTCTTGACAGGAGCTGACAATTACTTATATACCAATGTAATAAGTGTTTTAATAGTGGTACATTCAAAGGAGAATTACTTCTGCTTGGTTTTGAAGGAGGAGTTAAGTTTATGGATTAAGGGATATAGGACTTTAAAAAGAAAACAAAGCAAGCAGGAGTATCGTATTACTAACACAGTATTCCATATAGCTGTGCTTCGGCACTAAACTACTTACTAATACAGTATTCCATATAGCTGTGCAGAGGTATAGCTATATGGAGATGCAAGTCACTCCAAGGAATAATGAACAGTTCTGTACGGACAGAGTGGAAGTTGCTGGTCAGAAAATGTGGACAAAAATGAGATAAGGAAGGTAAGTTATAATAAATGCTTTTCATAGGCAAATAAAAACTATTTATTAATTAAGCTCATTGTGGGAGGCACTTTGGGAAACTCATGATGCAATATAACTAGCCCCAAGGGCTTATAGGCCAGCAGAAAAGACAAGACACAAGCACACAAACTATGCAGCAGCACATCAGGACAGGACCTGCATTGTTTGTGTTACATACATGTTTCTTTGGGAGCCAGTTCAATGCTAAGCACAAAGTGGAAATTACTGAATGAATTTTGAATACATACATGAATAAAAGTATTTGCTCTGTTAACTTGTTGAAAATGAAATTTATAAGGTAAAACATCTGCATAGTATCTCTGATGTTTTTAAGTATTTAATCTCCTTAATTATATTTAGAACATTAAAGCAACTAGTTGAAAGGTAATCTGCACACAAAGAAATTATTAGTCATCAAGTAGGCAAAAAATTCTGGTTACTTGATTAAATCCAATATTTTTCAAATAATAAATTTACAGTAAATGAGTTTTATATTTAATAATTTGAATTTTGTAAGATAAAATTTTTCTAATGTGTTTAAAAAATCTCATTATAGCATGCCTTTTATTTGTTTTTTTTTCAGACAAATCAGTGTTTTTTCAGCTTTTAACACTAACAAAAACAAAATGTATATCTGCTCTGGGTATCTTGAAACATACAGTGGAATATAATGGAATTTCAGGGGTTTAGACTTCATTGATTAGTTGAAGTATAATTTTATTGGCTTTGCATAAGTCACATTCATATTTTCTCATTTGTTTTCATGGACTTCTGTCAAACAAGAAGTTTCAATAGATAAGTCAAATAACAAGAAGTCCTAGCTGACCTCATTTTCAGCATTGAATAAGAAACCTACCTGAAGTAAATTTCATAGATAGGTGCAAAGCTCAAGCACTCGGATTATCTCATTTGGCGATAGATCTTTGAAACCAAAAAACAAAAAAACAAACCCTCAAAATCTGAAGTACATGTTTAATCCCCGAAGCCTGGGAGACAGCATTTTTCCTAATATTGTAATTTCGTGGTGCTTTGTGGAAACTGTAATTTTGCAAAGCAGACAGCACCTGTTAGCAGCTTCTTCGTAGCTGCTATGAAGTGGCCTGTTCACACAAGCATAGGAACACCATCAAACGGCATGTGATTTGTGGTTTCATTTTTGGCAAGAGACACACTTTTCACAGAATGACAGGTCACAGAGTTGCAAACCAAATTCATTCTTTGATCTCGGTTAAGAGACAAACTGTGTAGCAAATATAGCTTTGCTTGCTTGTCTTTTGCTTATTAGCTGTATAATTTGACTAACAACTTAAAAGAAAGCTTAGTTGTACCACTCCACTATGTACTAAAAAGTAATTATCTACTGTACTTTGATTACTGTACTTTGATTCTCTCACATGCATAATAGAACAGTAGATGTGACATTAACTTTTACTTTCTAACAACAAGTAGAACTTTGATAGAGCAAAAATATGTTAGGGAGATCACTACACAGGTCTGTTAATTTACATATGAATATCTTGCAATGAACTGTGGAATCTTGAGAGTAGGTTTTGAAGAAAGACTTGATCCTTGAATAGGCGTAACAAGACTGGGAACTCTGAATGCCTTTCATAATGCTTCTCATTTTTATTATAAGGAAAGACTTCCGCTAACTGAAAGAATAAATTTTGTACATTAGGTGCATATAGGAAAATGAAATTTACGTACACACACACACACACACACACACACAATACTGCTATTAGAAAAAGGAGAGAATAGTATAAAATCTCAGCTAGAAGAGACCCCAGTCAAACTCTTAATTTTTGCCTTTGGAAAGACAGATTTCTTGAAAATCAGGGTTATTGTTGGTTATGTGAAGAGTCAGACATGACATTCCTTGATAACAACATACGGAGAAAAGCCTGTTTAGAAACAAAAAGTTCTAGAAATATGTAGGTAATATTGAAGTGATAAGAAGTCATTCAGTTAAGTTACATACAGCTAATAAGTAAATCATATATAAGTACAAACCAGCACTTGGCATGTAAACATAAAGAAATTTCCCTCTTAAATGTATATACATGGTATATGTTAATATGGTAATTTTTGAATAGCGATTTTGTTGAACATAGTTATGCAAGAAGTCTAATATTTTTACAATTTAAAAATCTTTTATTTTTAATTATAAGCAGATTTCATAGATAATTCCCAAAGGACAAATTTATCCAAAGGATAAATACTTCTCTGAGTACCTTCAAAAATTGTGTTTTTATTTTTTCACCTTTCCTTATACTGTAAGTTTCACAATAGAATGGGTGTCAGCTGGTCAGCAGGTTCATGTTCTTCGCTTTTTAAATTATTTAAACCTCTGGTAGGTGCTATTTCTACACTTGATATTTTGCTTTTAAAAATATGGAACAAATACTACATTTGAAACCACAAAGTAGTCTAAAACTCTCGTTCAGTATGCTACTTAAATACAACTCAACAAATGATGAAGTGTGCTAAGTCATATAATAATTCACTTTTAAAAACTGAACTGTAGTACAGTGCTCAAGTGTTGTATCTTTTCCACCCTATGTCCTAAGTGATATCATATTCTCATTTAGAGAATGCCCCTGATATTCAAGTCACCTGGCTGTAAATTGGCTTCCCTCCCAGCCTAATAACTTGGAGACTTTTTGTAAAACAATTGTAATATTAAAATTCAGACAAGTGGCCCAAAAATGGCCCCAGAGGGCAGGAGGACTGCTATTTCCTGATTCTCACTTCCCTTATTCCCTCATTCGTTAAGTTTTGCAACATCAGTTTTTATACTGTTGCTGTTTTATCTTGGAATTTTAATGAACTGTATCCCTTTGACAAATGAGTTATTGTTTGATATATTACATTAGGGATATAGAGAACAAACTACTTATGGATACCAGATATTTGGATAAAATACGTTTACGTTATACTAGACTATTAGTGTAATGAGTTCTATTAGTTGCGAAAAAGACAATACACTGCAGATTTGGAAACATGCTGAAGAATGACGGACATATACATAATTTAAATCCCAGTACCTCAAATAAAATGGCAAATATTTTCACATTATATTACAAGTTTTTCTCCTCTATTATGGCACTAGGGAAATTTTCACTTACGTGAAATATATTTGAAGGTTAGGGAAACGTTGTCTGATTACTGACAGTTATGCAAATTGGGTGGTGGTTGAATTCAATATTAATGAAACAGATGTTGATGCGTAACTTAAGATGTTGAATATACTGGAGCTATGCTCACCTCTTTCCATAATTCTTCTATCCACTGAGGAAAGATGGGTTTATTTCTCTTATCTGAGGGCAATAGGGGTTGGGTTAAGAGTACTCTTTGCTCTGTGTCTTTCATTGAGATATGATTTCCGGATAATTTAACTAGAAATTATTTAGTAAAGGAAAATATTTAAAACAGACTCCCACATGTCCAGAAGCTGAATGGTCCAACGGTTCAAACACCCACCCTTTAAAAATATTATTATAAGCTAATTATGGGCATGATAACGAGCCACTTCAAGACTCTTAAGTGCCTCTCTATTCATTGTGAAAAGAGGAAATTATATTTGGTGTGACTTTAATGTTAAGTGTAAGTACATTACTTCATTTTAACTATAGTAAAAACTTACTCTAAATACAGTGATTTTTTTCCTAAACAAAATACTTAATTATCATTGATAGAAGATAGCAATTAAGGACATGTTGGCTTTTAAATAAATTTGGGTCCGTTCTCTATTCTGCCATAACTAGTTCTGTAAACATGGGCAAGCAGGCAAGATTCTTTAAACTTCACTTTTCTCATCTGGAAAATAGGATATCCAAACTTATATTCTTCTGTGTTATTTTGAGGGTAAATGATTCCACAAAGGTCTAATACCTGGAAAAAAGGATGAGTTTATAAACAGTCTTCATTGTTGTTGTTTAGGAGTGAGTAGCAGTTTAGTAGCAGGGCCTGAAGAGCCTGGACTTTGGGACCAGACAAAGCAATCTATGGGACCATAAAGCAATTTCTTTGCTTTACAATATTTGATCTTTTTTCTAAGCTCGTGATTTTGTCATCACTGTTACTATTTTTACTATTATTGGTTATTTTACACTTTTCCATTTATCTAAACATTCTAGGTGAGCAGATTTTACTCAAATTCAAACACACCACATTTCATAAACCTATAAATTACAAAACTAAAAACCAGGAAAATTATCCAAAAGACATTTTAGAAAGGTATAAAGAGTTATACAAATGTGGTAATATTATCATGTATGTTATTTCATTACTAAAATCATTTAGCAGTTGTTAATTTTGCCTCTGAAGCTTTATACTCTTTGATAAACATCATTTAGGTTTAACACTATAGAACTCAAGTAGCAATTTTTAAGAATTATTATACAAGTCATAATATTACTATTTGGTAAGCAGTAGAATGTATTTATGCAAAATATGTTGATTGATCCATTCAATAGATATGTCATGAGTACTCACTATGTGCTAAAGGTTGTGCTTCACGTGGAAGCAAAGTTATCTAGACACAGTCCCTGGAATCTAGCAGTCCAGCCTCCCAACAAACCCACAATATTCCTTCTACCAATGAGAAAAATATGTAGGTTAAAGATGGAGCAATTCCCCAGGAACCTTTACTAGTTCAATGACTCCTCTGAGAATGGGGAGCATTTAATTTGTGTCATTCTTCCCTACGGCATCTCACATGGCACTTCAAAGATTTTAGACAATGTTTTGATAAACATAATTATGAAGAAAATTAATAATTTCCAATTTCCTGGCTTTGTGAGTTTTTCCAGATAGTTGATGCCCTTCTCTTCAGATTTTGACTTTGCATTTCTATGTCTAAATCCAACAGTCTTTTAGCTTTAGACAGAATCTACATCATCCATACAGCAAAAGCATTATCTCTCCAAACTCTGAAAGCATTTTTGCTTATAATCAGGCACTGGCTAAGCATTTATATGTGTGCCAGGGACAAAATAACATTGTTCGTGCCTTAAGGAGGATGCTCTCATCCTCCACCAGGGGATTTGGATGCATTCAGATTGTAAATCAATAATCCAGAAACAAAGCCTGGTATTATTGTGCAAAAGAGAAAAGTAAAGCACAGAGAGGTTAATGTATTTTGTTTAATGTCACATAACTCCTAATATGGAAGTCAAAAAATCCAAGGCTGCCCTAAAGGCTGCTCTAAACCATTATGCGCTATACTAGGCCCTCCATATTCGAGGGTTCTTCATCTGATAATTCTACCAACCATTCTTTGAAAATTTCTGAAAATGAATACATAAACAATAATAATATAACAATAAAAATAATATAAATAAAAATAATAAAGTATAACAATTATTTACATAGTACTTACATTGTCTTCAGTCTTATAAATAATCAAGAGAAAATATAAAGTATACAGGATATGTACAGGTTATATGCAAATAATATGCCATTTTTTATAAGGTACTTGAGCATCATGGCAATGTAGTATCTGCAGGGATTTCTAGAACTAATCCCACTCAGATATGGCGGGACAATTGTGCTTAGCAATTGCTACTTTGTGTCTAATATACACGTATCCTATCTTTCAGTGATGACTGTGTTCTTGGAGGTCAGGTTCATGCATGATTTATCTCAATTTCCCTTAAAGCACTTGGAATACAGTTTTGCATAGTAAGTATGCAATAAATATCTTTAGAATGACAAGTATAATTTAAGCATCAGCAATCATAAACCTGCTGTTGTATTGATTTCTGAGCTACCTAGGGAAAGGGAAAAAGATAAAGATGGTGGTCATTCTTTTTTTTTTTTGAGACGGAGTTTAGCTCTTGTTACCCAGGCTGGAGTGCAATGGCGCGATCTCCGCTCACCGCAATCTCCGCCCCCTGGGTTCAGGCAATTCTCCTGCCTCAGCCTCCTGAGTAGCTGGGATTACAGGCACGCACCACCGTGCCCAGCTAATTTTTTGTAATTTTAGTAGAGACGAGGTTTCACCATGTTGACCAGGATGGTCTCGATCTGTTGACCTCGCGATCCACCCGCCTCGGCCTCCCAAAGTGCTGGGATTACAGGCTTGAGCCACCGCGCCCGGTCTGGTGGTCATTCTTGACGTTTCTTAAGGGAGATGTGAAAGCAACGTGTTCTGACTCAGAGTAAAAAACACTGGCTGACAAGTATAAACCAGACTCTGATGTATCAGAATGATAAATCTCATATGGTCATCTACATGGTGGGTCTGAAGCAGAAGCATTAGGAAAAACTCCCGCAATTTGTTCTGATGAGTCTTTGGTGACATTTTCTTTTTTATTTATTTAACTTTAGGTGCATACTATATTTGGCATTGTCATACTTGCTTACTGTTAACCTTCTACCAGGAGAAAGTAAAGACAACTCTTCCACTCTCTTAAGATAATGAAAATACTAAAAGAAAATAGTAAAAGAGTCAAAGAGGCCGAAACCACATCTAAAGCTAAAAGCAATGGGATTTTATAGAATGGCAGGTAGGAGATAGGGAGAATAAGACAATGATGATTTTCTTTTCGGGAAAAGTTATTTGCACTAACACAGGTTTCTCAAACACTAGACATAAATGCACACATAAAGTAGATGCTGCAGAATGCTTTATTGTTCATAGTCACTTAGGATGTTTTCCAATAGCTATCTTTTCTTTCTGAACATCAAATCTGCTGGTTTTATTAAAATAGTTTATTTCCTATCTTAGCACTCATTTCACTCTCCTAGGAGAATTTATTTGGTACCTAGTGTGTTCTGAGCTTATGTTTGGAACTGGGTACACAGTGGAAATAGAAGTACCTGTTTCAAGGAGGTGACGGTCTGGTGTGTACCGACTTAGATATAATTAAGATAGTATAATATAAGGGAAAAAGGTAGTATAAAAGAGAGACATACAAAGAAAATACAGTGTCAGCATTTCAACAGGTTTTTCTGTTTTTGTTGTTGTTAATTTTTATTCTAGGGTACCTTTGCTAACATTTTTTTAAAAAAGCAAACTACATTCAAGTCACACTATTTCCCCTTCTCATCTTTCAATAATTATTTTTAGGCACCATCAAATTTGTTACTTTTTCATATGTCTGATCTTTATATTCATTACTTTGTCAGCTATATACTATGATTCACTATGATTTGGTTATTTATTCAGCAAAACTCTATGAGTACAAACTATGATTGATTATAGTAAAGTATATGGGTGATAATGCATCATTCTTGCCTTCAAGAAGTTCATAGTATAAAACGACATGTCCAGTACAGTAGCCACTAACCACATGCTGTTATTTAAATTTTAACTTAAATCTAAAACAAAATTGAATTCTTTGTCACACCGGCCAGATTTCAAGTGCTCAGTGGCCACGATTGGCTAGAGATCTTGTTTTGGACAGTGCAGATACTGTATTTCTATAATCACAGAACGTTCTGTTGGTCAGTGCTGATTTAGACAATGTGTGGGATGCGGAGGAGTGAAATGGTGAGATAAAGATTATATGTAATTATTGATAGATAAGTATGGCATATGGATAAATTGTTAACACATGCAGAGTATGAGGGAAGGTTGGGGAAAGGGAAAGGCTTCACAGAGGCAATAACATTTGAGTCTCAAAAGATGAAATCAAGTGGGTTCAAGGAAGCCGAAAACAGCACAACAGGTTGAGAGAGCTGTATAGCAGGGCCTTTGCCTACTGTGCAGCTGTGCAGTTGCAGCTCTACAGGGTCCTATCACATATTGGTTGTGTTACAAGGGCCTGGCTGTGCATTATTATTCCTGCCTCTGGATCTGTGGTCATGCTTTTTCCTGAATCCGAAGAGTGTAACATCTCCACAGATCCCTTTACTCTGGACTTCACTCCATGTCTGCTCCTCTGGAAATCATTTTAATTGTTCCATCCCCAACTCATAAGACCACGTCTGGATTGTAGAACCTTTCTACTCTGAATTCTATACAGCAGTTTTATCTTGATCTATGTGATATAGCTTATAAACTGGTGTCCACAGTTTCTCACTGATCCGGCTGTTAGCATTGTCTTCCTGATTATACCTTAATGCCCAGGAAAGGAGATCAACTTCAGCCTCCCTGTTTCTTCTATTTCTCTTAGAGCAGTGCTGAGCATATAGGCAGATGCTCTGGGAAATAGGGCTGACTGACTGATGTCAAGGCTGATGACAACTCACTTTTATTCAACTTCAACACATATTGAACTTACAACCAACCTGTTCCACACTCGCTTTTTTATCTGGGGATTAAAAAGATGGACACAAAACATGGTATAGAAAAGTATTAAAATATTGGGAGAATTACATAACATTTATATTTAATAGCTTTAGAAGAATAATTTGATGTATTACTGAAGTTAATCCTTATGTAATATGACACTATTCTTTATTCTATGAGTAATCATTTATTGATATTTCTATTTACATTAATATTTGGCTTAGTGTTTTTGACACACAAAATAATTTTTAATCATTTTACTCATTACCAGTGTCTTTTATATTAAGGATGTGAGATTTCTGAGTAACAATAATTCTGATAGTTTTTTTCAGTATAAATGACAGTCTTCTAAATTTTTCCTTTGTTTTACTGCATATTATTTTGTCCAGTGTTTTAGACTTTTGTAGTTCTTTATTGAGCAACATTCTAAAGAAAAATCTAAAGATATCCTTTATGTGGCTTTGTTATGAGTTGTGGGGCATGATTTATTTATATTAAGGATTATCTTTTAATTGCTCCCTGAAATTCATGGTTGAGTTTTGCTTTCAACTGAGACATAATAGTTCTCATACATTGTCTAAGCATTGGCAAACAGGAGGAACATTGACTGCTCTCACCAAGAAACCATCTTTCATTTCAATTCAGTCTAATATCTGAGCCATAACTTCCAGTACCTAGGTGAATAATGACTGGAAAAGAAGAAGTGTTAACACACATTCCTGTCTTCTCCACTACTTTCTGGGAATTAGCTAAAATGATTGACATTTTAGGGCAGTTTAAATTACAAATGTTGTGTGTGTGTGTGCACATGTGTGTGTGCAGAAAAAACAACATGTAAGTAGTAACTAACTGTTTTCCTCATTGCAATGTTTCTTAGCACTTTCTTCCTCTGTCTTCTCTTTCTCCTGCCCTTTTACCCTAACATTTACTTCCGTAATATACTAAAATCTCATCACAAAACACATTGGCTTTTTTTGTTAGTTCCATCATAAATTATTTCTTGGTAAAAAGGGATGTTTGAGTAAATAGCTCGTTAGGATTTATTTATTTATTCTTTTAACCAACAGTTATTAAAACATTTTTTACACTTTGAATATAGCCTTGTGGGTAAAAGATGTAAAGAAAGATGAGATTCAGGTCCTTGCAAAAAAAAAAAAAAGGGCTCATTTGGGAGTGCTGAAATCAGAAGGGTTAAATAGAAGAACTCGATAATGTTTTATGTGTTATGGAACTCAAAAGGGCATTGAAATACCTAACTCTGACTGGCAGGACAAGGCAGGCCATTGTGGAGGAGGGGACTTTGGAGTTTCCATAAGAATGAGTGCACTTTTTCCAAGTAGACAATGGGGACAGGAGATGCCAGGTGCAGGCAACAGCCTATGGCAAGCAGAGGTAAGAAAGAGTGTGGTGCAGCTGGGCGAGTGCAGGTGACCATGTTGTAGAAGTGGTGGAAATTGAGTCTAAAGAGTCAGGAAGGGCTAACTGGGAAGGGCCTTCCAGTGTGGAATTTACACGGTAGATGATAGAAAGAAATTAAAGTACTTTAAGCCTAACAGTGGCAAAGTCAGATTTGTATTTTAGAGAGTTCTTTCTGAATGTATTAGTACCTTAGAACATGAATAGGAAGGGGTGGAGAGAGCAGCAATATGAGTTTGTGTCAGGAAGATTCAGAAAGGCTTTAGAGAGGAGATGAGAAGCGAGTCATCTTATAAGCTGACTAGACAGGGCATGGGCTTGCATTTTCTCAGTGTCCATTCTTCTCTTATCATGGGGAGTTTTCCGTTGTGTCATTTACTACTTTCATGAAGCCTGCCTGCACTTAGAATCTTCACTATGAGGTATGTCATATGGCATTTAATGAATTTTAATATTTTTCCACTCAAAGAATGGCCCACACACCAGGGGCACCTGCATCTCCTGGGGATTTGTTAGAAGAGCAAAACCTCAGGCCTTACCCAAGCCCTACTGAACCAGCATTTCAGTCGCATCCCTAGGTGATCTGTATGCAGGATATACTTTGAGAAGCACTGTTTCAGTTCTCCATGCCACATTAGAGTGTCCTGGGGGTAAAGTGGAAGTCTGAATGCTCTGCTTCTCGTGACTCCCTCATAGCACATACAAAGTTTGGAACATATTGTAGGTGGGCAGCAGGTACTTGCTAGTTGATTTATTTTCAAAGTAGAGAGTGTTACTTTAAGCAATTCAACCTTTTAAATTTAATAGACATTTATCGTAACTGGGAGACCAGTTAAGAGATTATTGCCATATTGTCCAAGTGAAAAATGAAGTACTACATTAAGGCAATGATAGTGGAGATAAAATAGAAGTGGAAATTTAAAAAAATGTATATATATATTTAGAAAAAAGATTGGTAGGCTCTGCTAATTAAGGATATGGAAAGTGAAAGTGAGAGACAAGTACAGAATATATGGGTTAGATGTGCACAATCACCTACTCGTTTTGCTGAACCATGAAAATGATAGTTCATGTTTATTCAGAGACGTTCTTTTTTTTTCCTTTTTTTTTGAGACAGGGTCTCAATCTGTTGCCCAGGCTGGAGTGCAGTGGTGCTACCATGACTCACTATAGCCTGGATCTCCCTTGGGCCAATGTGATTTTCCCACCTCAGCATCCCACGTAGCTGGGACTACAGGCACACGCTACCATGCTGGCTAAGTTTTGTGTGTGTGTGTGTGTGTGTGTGTTCGTGTAGTAGAGGCAGGGTTTTACTATGTTGCCAGGCTGGCCCTGTAGTCCTGGGCTCAAGCCATCTGCCCACCTTGGCTCCCCAAAGTGCTAGGATTACAGGTGTAAGCCACTGTGCCTGGCTGACTATAGACATTTTTTTCTACATTTTTATATCTGAGTGTTTCCCAGTCAAGAAACATTAACAGAATTAGGGTCTTTTGCAGGGCAGGATCTCATCTGGGTGTTTTGATATTATTATCTTTGCTCTCAGGAGAATATGTCCGAAGGAGAAGATTTAAAAAAACCTGTGGATTTAGATAGCATGAAGTAAGTGCTGTGATAGAGGTAACAGCGATGGGCTCTGTGCCCCTGAGGAGGGGTACTTAATTTAAACTTGAGATGGTAGCATCGGACAATGCTTCTCAGAAGACAGAACTCCCACAATGAGTCATCAAAACCTAATAAATAGCCACATATGTGTGTGTGTGTGTGTGTATACCCATATGTAGATATGTTCTATGGATAAAAAGGCAGGGAGAGAGTAGACTTATAGACATAGAAGACACTCGGTATGGAAGGCCTGAGAATATGAAGATATATGGTTTATGTTTTTCCATGTGCCAGCAGTAGGCAGGGACAGGAGGAGTTTTGATATTCTGAAAAGAATACAGGACAATACTAAAATGTCTCGGATCTGATTATTTTAGATCAGGATACACAGCATTTTCTGCACCACGTGCCTCTGACATGGAGAACATGGGAATTTAGTGTTACTCCTGCAGTGATGGAGGTGAAATTTACATCTGATGTGTCTGCACTCCAATCACTTGTTAGAATCTTACTGATCTTTCAGAATGGATTAAACACCTCTCTTCCTTTTTCCTAAAGAAGCCAGTCCGATCCCTTCTCTCCTGTCTATTGTTCTACACATTTTTGTACCTCATTTTTCATGCATTTGTCTTTCCTTTTTTAAGGAAGAGGAAGAAGACTTTAAAGAAGAGGAAGAGGATGAAGAGGAATATTTTGAATAGGAAGAACTGGAGGAAGAAGAGTTTGAGAAATAATTTGAGGAAGAAGAAGGTGAGTTAGAGGAAGAAGAAGAGGAGGAGAATGGGGAGGAGGAAGAGGAATTGGAAGAGGTGGAAGAGTTGGAGTTTGGCACAGCAGGAGGGGAGGTAGAAGAATGTAGACCTTCACCCCCAACCCTGCCTCCAGCTCTGCCTCCTCCTCCTTCCCCAAAGGTGCAGCTTGAGCCAGAACCAGAACCCAGGCTACTGTTGGAAGTGGAAAAGCCAGGGGCAGAGGAGGTGCATGAGGCTGACACAGCTCCCACCCTGGCCCCTGAAGTGCTCCCCTCCCAGGGAGAGGTGGAGAGGGACAGGGCAGCCCTGCAGCAAGGCCCACTCCCCAGGAGCTTGTTGAAGAAGAGCCCTCTGCTTCCCCAAACCTGCTGGAAGAGGGGACTGAGGATGGGGTGACAAAGGACAGCCCCCACCAGAGACATCTGCAGAAGAAGAGACGGAGACAGAGACAGAGGCCAAAACTCTCCAGGAAAAGGAGGAGGATGACACCGCTGCCATGCTGGCCCCCTTCATTGATCGTCCCCCTGATGATGAGAAGCCACTGCCTGCCACAGAGCCTGACTCCTAGCCATCTTCTGCACCCCTTCTCATTTCCAATACTTATGTCCTTAGGAAAAAAATACTTAAAGTCTAAGTATTATACTTGATTGTGATCTGTGGGAAGTCAAAATTTTACCCTATTCATTTTTACAAGCATTTCAGTTGATCATGCTTGGCGCAGGGAAGACACACAAGAAAACATCATTTCCAAAGAATTAACTGAATTCTTAATTATTAAACTAAGTAGATAATTAATGGTAAAAGTGAGAGTTATTATCTTTAAAACAATGAACTCAAAAGTGAATTGTTTCCCCAAACTTGCTTAATATGTATAAATCACTAATAACTCAGAACTGGCTTTAAGAGAGAAGAGACTAGCCACCTTTGCCCCTCATTAAAACCATTTGTACCCTTAAAATATTTCTAAATTCCACATTTTCTTTTGCTGTAATTACATGACATTTCTCTATAAACAGTTCAAAAACAAAATTGCACTTGTTTATTCACTTTGGTATCTAAATGCAATTTTCTGACTGGGTCAATCTCACACTAAAACTGGACAACACCTTGTAGCCTACCAGAAAGAGACAGAAAGTAATGAAGCTACACACCTCCAAATTACCAGCAATTTCTTTTTGTGAGGGAGACATCGAAGGCGATATCTGTGTCCTTGATATTTTACTCCCACCTCCCTAAGGTAAGCTAAAAGGCACTCTCACTTCCGTATTGTGTCTAATTTTTCTTTCACCTGTAACTCTTCTGCGACACTTTTGCCTCCTTAGCAAATTGAAGGAAGGAGCTGTGTTCTTTTCATATAGAAATAGTAGCTGGGGGCATAAATAGTGCTTGGCAGCTCTTTTATTTTATTAAAGAGAAATAGATGGTCTCATTTATTCAGCTTGGGATTATATTGCTATAATTCTACCACTGTTTTGCAAGGAATGTCCCTTGCAATCCAGGGCACCATTAATGATTAACTAGAATCACAGATCAAAACCTGTCATCATATGGAATCTGTAGGAAGAGGTCACAGGTTAAAGAGTTTATTGGACGGTGGTCTTGTGGGTGCTGTTTCTCAGAGATGGATTTTAAATTAAAGTTCTAGTCTTCAACTATTAACGACCTTGTGAGGAAGCTGAGATCACATTTGGATTTCAGTCTTGGGGTAATAAGCCCCAGAAATGTTCAATTTTTCTAGAGTTCAAAAATACCCATTTTTCTAAAATACATACCACTCTGGTTTTTCAACAGACTACATATTGTACTCTTTTCTTTCCAGGGTTAACATGGAATTCTTTAAAAATCTATGAAATGATTTAAGTCAAAAATACATTTATACGATACTAAACTTTTTCGCTGCCAATATCTAACAAACAATATTAAGGCGGTGTGAGTTCAGTGTAGGAGACAAAAAAAATCCGCCTGAGATTTGACCTCAGCGATGTATACATCAGAAACTGTCTGAATACTGATGCTTTTCATTTTTCTATTGCAATATTGCAATATATTTTCTGCCCCATTGCACCCTTCACTTTCTGAAACACACATATTCAATTTTACCTTTACTCTTTTCTTCAACTACTTACATTTCTAAATATTTCTACAGGTACACATGGACCTTGGAGTTTTATTTTTTTAAAAGAATAATTAAGATAATAAGATAACCCACTGAGTAGCCAAGAACTCAATTTAATCTTGTCTAGATTTTAACTTAATAGTTTAAAATACTATTCTATTATGAGGCAAAAAATTCATTTAAAAATAAATACAACATTTGTTATATAGTAATCTTGGCCCAGGAATTATTGGATATTTGAGAAATCTAATGACAGCCTTTGGTTCATCAGTATTGTTATCATAATTTCACTTGTAATAATAACTGCTGACTTAAAAAGTAATCTGAAAAAAGATGATGCAGTTGCTAAAATGAGTTTGAATCATGTATTCTTTTTTTTCTTCCCAGAGCTGCCACAGATTGATTTCATAACCTTGAGAAATTCACTGACCTGTCTGTATGCCTCTATTCTTATCTCTCTAAAGTAAAGCTAATATCTTCACCTTATTATCTACTTCAGTAATGAAGGTGTAAAGACTAATAATCATAAAAAGCACATCAGGCTTTCTGGAAGTCAGGCTCAGTATAAACAGAGTATTTATGAAGCAGAGCACACTATGAATTTGTAAATCTAAAGACAAAGTTTTTATAATGTATCTTGGAAAAAAATACACTGGGCAAATAAATCATCTTTGATATTCATTTTTCTGGTGGTATTCCTGTATCCACCATATTCCCTGAATTATTAGTCTGAATGAAAGACCTGAGGAAATTTTTATGTCGTTGCACTTAGCATTCAGTTATGGCTTCCCATTGCTAGGCAGCGAAATACTCATCTTCTACTTTAAGCACCAGATTTACTGCTCCTAATGGGAGATTTGCATTTGTTCTAAGATTACAAATAACAATTACGCCAAACCAATTACTCTTAACCTCAATTTGTAGCTCTTGCTTTCAGCAGAGCACTTTCATCTGTTCCATTTATTTTCATTCTCATTTTGGCCTGCAGTTATTTCTAAATAAATCAATCACCGTAGATGCTGGAACAGGTCTATTGAATAACGCCTAGGCTGACTATATACACTGTATGGGGAATAGAGAAAATTATGACTATAACTCAAATGAAAGCAAAAAGCATACTTCTGGGGTCAGTTACCTGAACAAATCAAGAGAAAAAGCTTTTGCCCTAGTTCACTAAATAGTGTGCATTCCTTCCCACCTATTCTTCTAAGTAATTAATCTTTGTCATGAACTTGCTACTGCTCCAGGAGCTATGAAGCACTGTATCTTTTCTTGTTCCTACTTTACAGATCAAGAAACGGAGGCGAAGAGAGATTAAAGAACTTGCCCAATTTTATAAAGCTAGTGAGTGACAGAGCTAAGAGTTCATCTCACACCTGTCTCTGGAGTCAACTCTCTTACCACCTCACTTTCCTACCTTCCCATGATGAGCTAAGTACATCCTGGGGCGGTATTGCTGCCTAGGTTGTCATTATATTATGGTGAAAGATGAATTCCAACATGAAGAATAAATCAAAAGTTTATTAATTATGACTCTGCTTTTATGTTAAGACCACTCATATTTCTTAAGGAGAAAACAACACAATGAAAGACTCTGACTAAATAAGTATATTTTAACTATATCCATGTATAATTGAATATAAGAATCTCATATTTTTCTTTATGTTAAGACCTGCTAATCTAGGAACAGTTCCTTAGTTGGTGTCCAAATTATAATTACTCTTAACTGTTAAACTGAATTCTATTCCATAAATTTAACTAATGTTCTTCCTTGCTGAAGACACTGACTTGTAATTAGTAATTCCTTCAGTTTTATTATATGTAATATATACTTAATGTAAAACTGATAATGGCATTTCTGAACAGAAAAATCAAGTAGAATTTATGCCAAACAATATGGTCATCACTTCTAATCAGAATACTAATTAACATTAAGCATTTCATTAAATATTAAAATTTTGATCTCTAGTGATTTTCTAAAGAAGATTTTCAAAGCTCATGAAATGTGTACTCAGCACAGGAAATTGGGAAAAATAAAAATGTAGAAAAAAGACAAAAAGTACCTATGATACACTCTGTTAGAGAAAAATAATGGGTCACCGCTTATCTTTTAAAACTTTTTCATGAATGTCTTAATAAGAAAATATTTATTGTTGATTTGGAATGTATATACAGCCCAAATCTCTGAAATCGTTTCTAAATTTTGAGTATTGTGCATAGCTAGGAGCACATAAATAATTTTGTATATTTTCTCTTCTAAATCATTAACTTAGTTTCTTCATGATAGTCTTATTTAAAATTAAATGTTTAATTTGTCAGATATAAACATCTCCTATACTACTTACTCCTAGCTAGATAACTCTTTATTTGATGTGTGCCACACAACTTAGCACTGTACAGTTATGAGTATGTGTGGATTAACTCAGGGTCATTAAAACTAAGGCAGCCCCAACTTGCTCCTGTCAGTGGAGGCAAGTCATATTCATTACCCATATGTAATGAATATAAATTATGACTAAAGATGAAACCAAATGATATTAACTGTTTGAGTGTTTGCGTAGTTGCATGCATGCAATTATATTTAAAGATAGACTCTTGATTTTTAAGTCCAATTAGAATGATGTTACAGGCCCCTGTTCCCTTTGGACAGCAATCTGTATCATAAAGTTATTATTTGCTGTTCATTTACTATTCTGCATTTGAACAAACAGAAGAATTAACATCCTTCTATAAAAACAAACAAAACAAAACTTGAGTGCTAAGTTAAATGGCTCTCTCTTTCCCAGGGAGGCAGTCCTCTTAGTAGAGAAAGGGAGTCTCACCGCTGATGGCCTGCAGAAAAGCTGTTACTGTAAATGCACAGTTCTGTTACAACATACAAGATGTTGGAATGTTTAAAAATACTACCGATGGGTTTTTTTACACCTATAAACAACTAGAATTAACCAATGACAGTAAAAATTTAAATACTGTTCAAAGACGTTTATTGCAAAAATCCTAAATATTGGTATAGGTAACAGAATTAAGTAGACTTATTTGACTACTTTCTACATTTCATTTAAATATATTTCATTAGGAACTCTAAAGGTAAACTGATGACATATTGCACCAAAATATATAATTGTAGGGTCCAACTTCCCAACATGCCTTGTAAATTATACAGTAAAATAAAGTATTCAACAAACCTGATTTTAGGCCAGAAACCTGACCTAAAAACAGAATTCATGGTTGTATATTAAGCACAAAGTCCTCCCAGTTGTGTAAGTTTTGAGCTGTTTGGGTATAAGTAGGCAGATTGAGAATGAAAAACATATGGTCATTGCGGTGAATGAGAAGGACAAATCTAATAGTTACACCATAAGTGTGAAGAGAGAAACACCCTGAAGACATTCTCAATGGAAATTTTACCAGAGGTGAGCCTGGAAGAGTTATTAAGGACCTGTGATATCTCTAGCATAAAGACACACAGGATTGGTTTAGCTCTTGACTATACACCAAGATCATGTAACCTTGGGAAAATCTTTTAAACCTCTCTGAGACTAATTTCCCTCATTCTGAAAATGACGAAAAAAATTGTGATACCTCAAAAATCTTTAAACATAATTACACATTGAGATACTTTATAAATGCTATAGCACTCAGTGTGTGTGAGGTGATAAGAATCAATAGATATTAGAGGGTTCTAGGACTAGAATTTGAATGACAATTTTTCATGCAATATTCTTGCCACTAAAATAGGGGTTGGATAATGTAATGGTCAAGAAAACTTCATTAAAGACATATATAGACTGAAAATAAAGGGATAGAAAAAGATATTCCATGCCAGTGGAAACCAAAAAAGAGTAGGAGTAGCTATACTTACCTCAGCAAAAAAATAGATTTTAAGACCAAAACCATAAGAAGAGACAAAAATGTCACTATATAATGATAAAGGTGCTAATTCATCAAGAGGATATAATAATTGTAAATATATACACACACAACACTGAAACACTGAGACATATAAAGCAAATATTATTAGAGGTGAAGAAAGAAAGAGG